GAGATCATGACCTGAGCTGAAGTCAGACGCTTAACCGACTGAGCCACCCAGGCTCCACAGTAATGCCCTTCTTTATCTCTAATAACTTTTCTTGCCTAGACATCTGCTTTGTCTGAAAATATAGCTACTCCTGCTTTCTTTTGATAATTGTTAGTATGGTATACCTTTCCCCATCTGTTTACTTTTAATCTGTATGTGTCCATTTATTTATTTATTTAGTGTCTCTTTCAAGTATGTTTCTTGTAGATGGCATATGGTTGGGTCTTGTTTGATCTACTTTGACAACCTCTGTCTTTTGATTGGTGCATCTATACCATTGATGTTCAAAGTGATTATTGATGTAGTTAGATTTAATGTCTACAGTGTTTTTTAAATTAAAATTTCAAAAATTAATTTTTTAATATTTAAACAATTTTTCTAAAAGTTTATTTTTAAATAAAAGAGGAGAGTCAGAGAGAGAATCTCAAGCCAGCTCCATATTGTTGGCACAGAGCCCGACACAGGGCTCTAACTCATGAACTGTGAAATTATAACCTGAGCCGTAATCAAGAGTTGGACACTTAACTGACTGAGCCACCTAGGGGCTCCTAAGGTCTACAGTATGTGTTACTGTTTGCTGTTTGTTGCAGAGTTGTTTTGTGGATTATATTTTTAATTTTCAAATATTGATTCTTTTGGAATAAACCCTACTTGATTAGTGTGTAATTTTCTTTACATATTACTGGATTTGATTTGCTAGTATTTTATTTAGGGTTTTATATTTGTCTCCATGAGAGAGTGATAATTTTCCTTCCTTGGATGTCATTGTCAGGTTTAGAATCCAGATACTCTCACTTTGCAAAGTCAGTGCAGAGTATTTCCCTTTCTTTCATTTTCTGGGATAATAAATGTGTTGCTATTTCTCAAAAGCTTGAAAGAAATTAGTAGAGGGGTGCCTGGCTAACTCTGTCATTAGAGCATGTGACTCTTGGTCTTCGGGTTGTAAGATTGAGCCCCATGTTTGGGGTAGATGTTAAAAAAAAAAAAAAGAACAAAATTACTGACCATGAAATAAAAATAATCTATTTAAAAAAAAATTACTAGAGAAGCCTTTTGGGCCTGAATATTTCTTTATGGAAATATTTGTAATAATTCAGTTTCTTTTATTGATGCAGCAGTGTTCAAATCTTCTTGTGTCACTTTGGTAGTTTTTGTGTCCTTGTAGGTATATAGGTTTGTTTCCTCTAGTCAACTAAGCCAGTGCCTCCCTCCCCATCCATCACATTTTCATCTTTGGTCAATTTAGTTACATCTCTCATTTACTGTTAGCTCCTTTCTGGTTTTCGTTTTGTTCTTAAGGTTTCTACTTTCTCTCCCCTCCTTCCATTACTGTCATTTTTGTGAAACGTATGGAGAAAAATGCATGTATTAAATCTGTGATACTTAACTGGGGTCTCTCCTTAACCTTTATTTCTTCTTCCACTTACTTTTGTAAGTGGAGTTTAGTGGACACAATTTTCTACTCTCGTTATTACTAATGCCAACTATAGCAGGATATTGAAATGTGGTGTAGTATTCTCAAGGGCTTTTCAGGATTTAAGGTTTTATTCCTACTCCAAATTGCCCTAAACTTATGTTTTAAAAATGTGTTTGTTTTTTCTAATTTATTTTTTTATTGGCAGCAATCACTTTCATGAGGTTATTGTTCTTTTATTTATACATTTAGAAGTTCTAATCTGTTGATTAGGAAATCATGACCAGATGTGTTAGAATTGTGTATTTAGAACCCTAGTTCTTTTAATGCATAAATAATAAACATTTCTTAACTTTTTGCTGCCTTGTAGCCTTTTTGATTAACTTGCCTCAGTTGATGGATACTAGTTGCTCAATTATGAATCTTCATTAGGTTAGAAATCATTATAGTTTGTTACCTTTTCTGTCTTGGTAGCATAATTGTCATCTAACCATCTTTTTTTTTTAAACAGGTTCATTTTACTTTTGATATTTTAAAGTTCTTTTTGGGGAATAATTTTAAATTCATAGACAAGTTTCAAAGATGTTACAGTTCTGTATACTATTCATCTTTTCTTAATGTTGGCTATTACCCCAACCGCAGACTTCCCTAGTTATTTCACTAATGTTCTTTTCTTATTCCAAGGTCCAGTCCAGGATAACATACTGCATTGGATTGTTACATCTCCTTAGTCGCCTCTGATCTATGATAGTTTCTTAATCTTTCCCTCTTTTTAAAAGCATACTAGTCAGGTATTTTGTAGACTGTTTCTCAGTTTGAGTTTATCTGATGTTTTCTCATGATTGACTGGCATTAAGGGTTTTTGGGAAGGAGACCACAGAGCTGAAGTGGCATTTTCATCACATCGTATTAAACAGTACATCCTGTGAATAAGATATCACTTTTGATTTTAACCTTAATTACGGCTAAGGTAGTGATTGTCAGATTTCTCACTGTCAGTTGACTTTTTCCCCCTTTCTGTAGTTGATGCTTGGAAGTGAGTTACCAAGTCCAGGTTATACTGAAGGGAGAGGGAATTAAGTTTCATCTCTTACAGGAAAGAGTTTGTGTATTTATCATTTGGAATTCTTTTTAAAGGAAGGTATGTCCCTTTTTCCCATTTATTTATTCATTCAATCATTTATGTCAGTATGGCTTTGTGACTATTTCTTCATTTTTTGGAGTTATAATTCATGGCTGTTGTTTACTTTTGCTAAAATTATTTACCTTTGTTAAACTATTGGGGGTTCATTTTGGTTCCTGTAACCTTTTGACATCCCCCCATCTTTTTTCTTTTTTTAAAGGAACCTCCTTATTTCCTAGTATACAAAATACTCCAGGCTTATCTTCTATTTTCCTTGAAACCCATCTGTAGAATCAGTCATTTCTTCTAGGAGCCTGGGCTCCTTTTATTAGAGGATGGTATTTAAAAATCAAGATCTGGTTATGAGTGTACTTGTTACAACTAGGGTGTCACTGCTTTTTAGACCTTCTCAGAGAACAGAGCCTTAGTTCTGTATACTAACCCATGTTACAAGGCATGCCTATATTTGTTCTCGTATCTATCTGTATATATGTCAAATATGAAGTCATAGTGATATCTCTTACTCTGGTACCATTAGAATGAACAGAGTTCATTCTGGGTTCTTCTCTTGCTTATTTGTAACCTCTTTCTCTGACAGGGAGAAACCTTACCATCCATTATACATAATTATTTGTCCAACCCCAGTATACATGTAAAGAAGTTTCAGATTTGCTCATAGTGATTTGTTCCTTCCCATTTCATAATTTTGGTAGTGAACTCCTATTCTTTGAAACTCTTTTTGAGCCTTGTATTTAAATTTTATATATTTTTAGAGAGGATTTATATTTGATTCTGTTAGTCATGTAGAGGCTTTTTGCAGGGGGAGGGGGTTTAAAATAGTTTATTATAGCAAAATATACATAACAGAATTTACAATTTTAACCATTTTTAAGTGTATACTTTTGGATTGTCATTAAGTACTTTTATAATGTACAGTCATCACTACCATTCATTTCCAGGGCTTTTTCATCATCCCAAACAAAAACTGTATACCAATTAAAAAATAACTCTCCATTCTTCTTTCTCCAGTCCCTGTTAACCTCTGTCCTACTTTCTGCTTCTGAATTTTCCCATCCTTGATACCTCATTTAAGTGGAGACATACAGTATTTGTTATCTTATGGCTAGTTTGTTTAATTCATTGTAATGTTTTCAGGGTTCATCCATGTTGTAGCATGTATCAGAATTTGATTCCTTTATGGCTGAGTAACATTCCTCTGTATGGTTATATATGTGTGTATATACACAGAACATTTTATTTATTCATCTTTTGCTGGACATTTGAGTTGTTTTCACTTTTGGCTCTGTGATTAATGCTACTATGAATGTTGGTGTATAAGTATCAGAGTCCATGCTCTCTGTTATTTTGGGTACATACCTAAAAACGAGATTTCTGGATCATAGGGTAATTCTGTTTAACGTTGTGAGGAACTGCCAAACTTTCCATGGTGGCTGCACTATTTTACATTCCCACCAACAGTGCACAGAATTCCCAATTTCTCCACATCCTTGCCAACACTTACTATTTCATGATTTTTAAAAAATAATGGCTAACCTAATGGCTGTGAAATAGTATCTCATTATAGTTTTGATTTGCATTTTTCTAACATCTAGTGATATTCAGAATCTTGTAAGACTATTTTAATTATAGGCTTTCCTGGGCCTGAAAATTCTGTTCCCAAACCTGAGTAATTGTGAACTTGTGGTTAGGAATTCCCTAACCATGTGTAAATACATTTTATTTGTCATCAGTTTAACCTAAAAACGCAGAGCAAAGGCAAGACATCATAATCATTCCTATTTTCTTTTAGTTTCTTTTTTTCCCCCTAGTTCACCTAATTGGAGGGTTGCCCTTCAGATCTTCTGGTCATCAGTCTGACCTCTCATCTTGCTGGCATCCCAAACTTGACCTTAAAGCTCAGGATCTAGGTCATCAGGTTTTTGTCATACAGATGCCAGCTTCAGAATTCATTTATCTCTGAGTTCCCAGTTTCTGGTTGTTTATGGCTTCAGGGGGTTAGCCACTCACTTAAAATTTTTTTTAAACTCATTGTAAACATATATGGTGTTCTTACCTAGAGAATTTTCCTGAACATTGAGTTCACCATATTGTCAACACAGAAAACACTGATTTCTCCTTATTAAAAGGCAGAGATGACTGACTGAAGTAAAGGCTAGTGGTCCGGATATAGTTCTCATAAATAAGCCAAACAAAGTAACAGGTAGTAATTTGATCAGTGATCAAATATGGACATACATGGGTTGATTTTTATATATTTTATACATATCCATGTGCTCTGCCTCTACTTTTACTGTATCTTAGTAATTTGAGGTTCTTCTTGGTAACAAACTCATGCATATGGACAACTGTAAATTCATATTGAATAGCTCTGTTAATAAATATTTATCTCTGTTTTTATTTCAGCTTTGGCTAGATCAGAGTCTAAGAGAGATGGAGGTTTTAAAAATAATTGGAGCTTTGATCATGGAGACGAAAGTGAAGGAGATCCAGAAAAAGAGTAAGACTTTTCTTTCTTCCCTCACATAGTTTCTAAGAATGACATTCCATTAAAAATGATTTATATTCCATGGAAATATTTTTAAGTGTATGGTATTCTTAAGAAAACGTCTTTTCTAGTAGCATCAAGGAAAGAAAAAGTAGATTTTTATTAAATAATTTTGTATTTTCATTTCTCTGTCTTTTGAAATGAATAATTATGTGCATGTAATACATGTAAGCTTATGATTAAAAATTGACGATTGAAGATTTTCAATTAAAGAAATTGTTCTTTTTTTAATAGTATTTTTGATTTGAAAAGCTACTGTTTATCATGAGTAAGTGAACCCACATCAAGACCCCTGAATTTTGAAAAGTTAAGTCCTGTAGTATATCTTTCTTCCCAGTGGCCCCATCCATCTTAGATTACATTACTACCAGAGAAAACAGAAACCATATAAATGATAAACACAGATGTTAACTCAGACAGAAGTAAACAGAGTATTCATTACACTTTGTTAGTGTGCTTAGAATGACTTCTTTGTAAAATGTAAATGGTAGTTTTAATACAAACTTTTGTATATCATGAGATTTGTATTACATATTCACCATTGCTATTAGTGCCTTTGTTTATTGATTTTGTTTTCCACTGGACAGAACAAATTCAGAGATACACAAATATATACAAGAAGTTCTACCAACACTATAAGTATTTTTAAAAATTTCTACACAAAACATCATTCAGAGTATATTGGCTAATAAATAGTGTAGGTGCTTCACTTTTCTGTCTGGGTAACAGCTCCATGCATCATTACCACTTTCATGTGTTTTCACATATGAGATATTGAACTGACTATAAACTTTTATTTGAAGGAGAGCTTTGAACTGGTAAGGCTTTCACCTAAAATTGGTATTTTGTGGTCGTCTTTCTATTGTTTTTTTTGTTTTTTATTTTTGAATTTAAAATAATTTTTATTAATAGATACTTAGTATTTATGTAATTTTGAAAAATTGGAATTAAATCCAAAATTGAGTAGAAAGTATACTACCTTTTCGACATTTTTGTAAAATGTTTGGAAAAAAGAGAATTTTTACTACTAAAAAAGTTGGGATGTATAGAAGTAGCAATGAAACAAATATTTTATATTTTTATTATAAGTAACTAAGATTTTACTAAAAATAGCTCAGCAGAGTTGTCTTTAGAAGAATGTATTTTAACTTTGTTAGAAAATTCGTCATGATTATATAAAAAAATTTGTATTTTAAGGTGTTACATGTTCTGTGTATTTCATTTATGAATCATACTCTTTGAATTATCATTATAAGAGGATCCTTAGGAGCTTCAGCTTTTTTAATATTTTGAGATTAAATAGATATGTCAGTCTGATCTTTTAGACTCTCAGGCCAATGATTCTGAAGTGTTGATATTTCCAGGAGTTGCAAAGGTGTAACCATTTTACTGTGGTAACACCATCAATTACTTTCTTTATATCAGCTAAGGTTTTCTTACCAGATTTTTTTTCTATTTCGTTTCTGTGTTATTTCCCCCTAATTTTAAATCCAAGACAAAGGAAATATGAGTGACTATATGAAATCTGTAATTTGGAAAGCAAAAATTATAGCTGAATCTGGCCCATCATTAGATTTTGTTAATAGTTTTATTGGAACACAGCCACACATGTGGTCTGTGGCTGCTTTCATACCAAAATGACAGAGTAGTTGGTATAAAGACCATGTTTACTCTCTGGCCCTTTATAGGAAAAGTTTGCTGATCCCTAAATTAGGTAAGCAAAGAGAATAAAACTTATGAATTTAATGTATGGGTTGCAAATATCACTTAAGGTTTTTTCTCCCCTTGTTTTATGTGTAGTGAGGCAAATCTACTCAGTGTGGGTGAAGATGAGGATTCTGAGACCTCAAAAGGGAAAAAGGCAAGTGTTGCTTTTCTGATTTTTTTGGGGGGTAAATTTTTTAGGTTATATACTAAAAACTAATATTTTCAAAGATTTATATATATATTTTTCTAAAGTTTATTTATTTTGAGAGAGAAAAAGTGAGTGGGGGTGAGAGAGAGAGAGAGAGAGAGAGAGAGAGAATAAGAGAATCCTAAGCAGGCTCTGTGCTGTCAGTGCAGCCTGAGGTGGGGCTCAGTTTCATGAACCATGAAATCATGACCTGAGCTGAAATCAAAAGAGTCAGATGCTCAACTAACTGGCCACCCAGGCACCTTGCGATATAACCTTAATTTGCATTTCTCTTATTAAGAGTAAGGTTGAATGTGTTTTCTTTCATATGTGTAGTTCATTTATTTTTCATTTTTGATACGTGCTAGTTAATATCTTTGCCTGTTTTTTAATTTAGTCTTTAGAATATTATTGATTCATATGAGTTCTTATATTAAGTCTAAGCCACACATTTTTTTCACATCTCTGAAATCTATCTAGGTGCATAATAATGGCATGACATAGTTCAGTTAGAAAAATTTGTTTGCTTATTTGTATTACATTTGTATTTACAATGATATGTATCTTACAATGGTTTCTTAGATTGATGAAATAGAGTCTTTTGGAGAAATTAATCCCTTGCTGTGATGTTATCTGCTAATAGTTTAAACCTTTTTTTTTTTTTTTTTTTTTTTACTAGTCTTTTGTGTTTGGTTTTAGTGACTATTGCCTTGGAGAAAAATTATGTTGTCAAAATATTGATCTTTTTTCCTTTTATGGCTTTTGGGTTTTGTGCCTTTTTTCCTAATGATGTTAACTTAATTACTTATTTGCTTTGTCCTATGAGATAGTTTCACAATACCAATACAAATATAATTACTAGTAAAATACTGAAAAAATTTTTTTCCTTCTGTTTTCTTGTTGGTGTTTGGTGGCACCATGAGGTATGTTCTACTAGGAATGAGTATTTAAATTACTGTGTTGTGTTTTTTTATGTGAACTTTAAAAAAACCTTTTGTTTATTTATAATAAGCAATCTTTACACCCAACCTGGGACTTGAACCCACAGCCCCAAGATCAAGAGTTGCATGCAGCTCTAAGTCAGCCAAGTGCCCCTAAATTACTTTTTTTAAAATCAATTAAAATGATTTAGTTTGTTTTATAAGTATGCAAAAAATATTACATGATTTGAAAGTCCTATCTACAAAAGAAGTTTTATTCAGAGAAGTCTAGGTTTTGTTCTGATTTCGTCTATACTTTTCTCTCTAATAGGCAACCTTTTAAAAAAAATTACATGGTTTAGTGTTTCATCGTTCTTTTCTTTCTTTTTTTAATTAAAAAATTTTTTAATGTTTATTAATTTTTGAGAGAGAGAGTGAGAGCAAGAGAGTACGAGCAGGGAGGGGCAGAGAAAGAGAGGGAGACATAGAATTTGAAGAAGACTCCAGGCTCTGAGCTGTCAGCACAGAGCCCAGCCTTGAACTCATGAACTACAAGATCTTGACCTGAGCCGAAGTCGAACACTTAACCAACTGAGCCACCCAGGCGCCCCTCTAGCTTTTATTTTAACATCTTGATTCCTTGCAGCACTTACTGTTTAGGTGTTCTTTAGGTAGACAGAAATATAGTGAACTTTGCAGGGAAAAATAAAAGGTGTTTTCAGTTACTTCTGTGACATTGGTTTTCAATTTATGTAGTGTTTTTCCTTTTTTTTTTAAAAAATTGTTTTTAATGTTTATTTATTTTTGAGAGAAAGACAAGAGTATGAGCACAGAGAGAGAGGGAGACAGAATCAGAAGCAGGTGCAGGCTCTGCACTATCAACACAGAGCCCGACGCGGGGCTCCAACTCACATACTGCGAGATCATGACTTGAGCTGAGGTCAGATGCTCAACTGACTGAGCCACCCACGTGCCCCTTTAATGAACTTTTTTTTTAAACATTTATTTATTTATTTATTTTGAGAGACCGGGTGTACGAGTGGGGGGAGGGGCAAAGAGAGGGGAGAAAGAATCCCAACCAGGCTCTGGCACTGTCAACTCAGAGCCTGATGCAGGACTCAGTCTCACAAACCGTGAGATGATGGCCTGAGCAAAAATCAAGAGTTAGATGCTCAACCGACTGAACCACCCGAACTTCCCTTTAATGTGCATTATAAATGTCTAATCATTTAGCAGAATTTTTTTAGATTATCTTCTTATTTGATATTGTTACATGCTAAATGTCTTGAATACTTGTTTTTTTGTTAAATTGATTTAGTTGATGTGTGGTAAGTTTGGGTAGATGATAAATATATGTTGATAAGTTTTACACATTTTATAGTCCAAATGAAAGATTTATTCATGTTACAAACATGTATTGATCACAGTGTTCCTGATGCTAGTGAACAAAGTAGACAAGTTTCTTTTTTCTATGGAGCTTAAATTCTACTAACTGATTATGTTCGTTTGTTGCTTAATGAATAATATATAATATGGAATTGGCAACTTAAGGCTCACAGGCCAAATCTGGCCTACAGTCTATGGCTGAAGAACCATTTTTAAATGATATCCTCAAAAATCAAAAGAATACTGTTTTATTACTTGCAAATATTATATGAAATTTAAATTTGTTTATAAATAAAATTTTATTGGAAAACAGCTATGCTCATTTGTTTCTTGTCTATTACTGCTTTCATGCTACAACACAAATTTGAATTGTTTGGATAGAGTTGAGTAGTTTCAGCAGAGACTGTATGACCTACAAAGCCTAAAATACTTGCTATGTGGCCCTTTACAAAAAAGGTTTGCTGATCCCTATCCCATTGTTTATACTATGTAAAGGTATTCCATATGGATTGATATCCAGTTGAGAGAAACAATTTTTTGGATGGGTAATATATTAGAGTAGTTCATCAGAATATCAGATTCTCGGCCTGCTAACAATTGTCTATTTTATAGGATGGTTGTGAGAATTGTTAGGCTGTGTAACTTACATAGTACATGGCTCTAGTAAGTCTTCTACCAGTAGCTAAGGGCTGTATTTATAGTTGGTTTGGTAACTATGATTGTTTTGTGCTCATCCTTCTGTCTATAGTAGTTTCCTGATCCTATGCTTGCATTAGATAGAAAACTGTGTCAGGCTACTAAACAGAGGGGCAGAGGGGAAGAAAAATTAAAGCTTTTCAGGGACGTCCAGATTGAATATATCGTCTTCAACTTTAGTAGTAGTAGTTCTCTAATGTGTGAGATAGTTATCCATAAATTAATGGCTTGATTTTTACTTTCTTTATTTCTCGCAATAATCTGATGTAGATTAGCAAATGAAGAGTATAAATAAAATGAAGGGAAATAAATATTATTAGAGAGAAGATGTGCTAGAGATCTAAAATTTATATGTTGTATTTTTTAAACGTGTTTATTTTTTATTAAAATTTTTTTAATTTTTATTTTTGAAAGAGAGAGTGCTAGCAAGGGAATGGCAGAGAGAGGGGGAGACACAAAATCCAAAGCAGGCCCCAGACTCTGAGCTATCAGCACAGAACCCCATACAAGGCTCAAACTCACCAACTGTGAGATCATGACCTGAGCTGAAGTTGGACGCTTAAGTGACTGAGCCACCCAGGCTCTTGTATAAAAAGTTTTTTTTATGTGTTTATTTTTGAGAGAGAGAATGTGTACATGTGTTGGGGAGGGGCAAAGAGAGAGGGAGACAGAGAATCTGAAGCAGGCTCCATGCTGTCAGTGCGAAGCTCAGTGTGGGCTCGAACCCAGGAACTGTGAGATTATGACCTGAGCAGAAGTCAGACACTCAACTGACTGAGCCACCCAGGTGCCCCCTCTATGTTGGATTTTAATTTAGCATTATTTTTAAGTGTTCCAGAAGCTAGAATTCTGTCCTATAGGTTTGTAATTGTGTAAAGAGAATCTTTTACAATTTTATATCCTTTGATTCTCCTATGGAGTGAACCTCATCCCCTCACCCCTGCCCCAGAGCTACCTTCTAAGTGTAATAAATGGTTGGGAGCCTTTTCTAAGGTAATTTGATGGTATAGTAAAAGATTTTCATGAGATATAGTCCTATCTGACAAAGTTGGAAGTACTGGTTTTCTTCTTGCCAACTGAAGTGTATGTAGTTTTTGATTGTAACCTATAGGCAACAGAATTGGGAAACTTAGGAATTTTGTTAGATAGATCCTCTTGGGTGTTTTTTTTTTTTTCACATTTATTGATTTTTGAAAGACAGAGACAGAACACTAGTTGGGGAGAGGCAGAGAGACAGGGAGACACAGAATGAGAAGCAGGCTCCCCAGGTTCTGAGTTGTCAGCACAGAGCCTGATGTGGGGCTTGAACCCATGAACTGTGAGATCATGACCTGAGCCAAAGTTGGACGCTTAGTTGACTGAGTCACCCAGGCACCCCTTGTTTTTTTTAATTTTTTTTTTGTTTTTTTTTAACGTTTATTTATTTGAGAGAGAGAGCGCACACATGCGTGCCCCTGTGCATGAGAGGGCCAGAAAGAGGGAGGGAGAGAATCCCAAGCAGGTTCCATGCCATCAGGACAGGGCCATGGGACTTGATCCTACAAACCAAGGCATGAGATGGTGAACTGGGTCGAATTGAGAGTAGGATGCTTAACCGACTGAGCCACCCAGGTGCCCCAGATCCTCTTGCTTTAATGATGGGCTTTGGGTTGTCTGTTGCTGTGCCCTAATGCTTTCTCAAAAAATTTTTGAAAATGTATGAGCATTTAATATATGGTTGAATTAGCTGAGTTATATGCCAGTATATTAGATATGATTTGGCTTAAACAATTCTTAAGAGGAAAGATTAACTTTCTACATTGATATAAAGGAATATTTGACGCGGTTCCTTTTTTTACTCTGTAGGATATTTTGTATCCTAATGTATCCTAGTTTGTGTCCTGATGTTTCTGAAATAATATGGTTTGTTTTTGCTTTTTTCTTGTTAAGCCAATATATATATTTCTACAAGAGCATTATAAAAATTTCTCATGCAGTATAGTATAGAAACACATAGACTTTGGAATCAGACCAGTCTTTAAATGTTTAAAGCCATTTAACTAGTTTGGACAAGTTACTTTGCTTTTTCAGTTCACTGATCTTCATAGCATAAGGATAGAATGTCAATAGAGTTTAAATGATATGTGGTGGAGAGATTTTGTTAAGGAGAGAGAACTGAAGTGGGAAATTAATTCTTTCACTCAATAGCAGCAAGTAAGTGACCTGATGTTTTAGGTATGGTTGCTGAATCCCAATCTGAAGAACTGAAATGTATAATGTATGGATATTAAATATAAAGTAACTAACATAATGCTATTCATAGTAAGTATTCACTAGATATTAGTTTTTGTAATTGCCTAGGTAGGATCAGTCTTTTTCTTTTTTCTTTCTTTCTTTCTTTCTTTTTTTTTTTTTTTAGTTTTTTTAGAATTTATTTATTTTGAGGGTCGCCTGAATGGCTCAGCTGTTTAAGCCTCTGACTTCGGCTTAGGTCATGATCTCACGGTTTGTGAGTTTCAGCCTTGGGTTGGTCTCTGTGCTGACAGCTCAGAGCCTGGAGTCCACTTTGGATTCTGTTTCCCTCCCTCTCTGCCCTTCCCCCACTTGCGCTGTCTTTGTCTTTATCTCAAAAAAAATTTTTTTTATGTTTATTTTTTGAGATAGAGACAGAGACAGCGCAAGGGGTAGAGGGCAGAAAAGGGGGCAGGATAGAGAATCTCAAGCAGGCTCTGCACTGTTAGCAGGGAGCCCAACATGGGTTGTGAATTCACAAACCTATAAGATCATAACATGAATTGAAACCAGTACTTAACCAACTGAGCCACCCAGGTGTCCTTATATGATCAGTCTTTAATGGAACCTTTTGCTTCTGAGATTCTTAACAGCCTATGTATCAAAATCATCCAGAGCATTGGCTCTCCAATATTCATGTACCTGAGTATCACCTGGAAAGTATGATAAAAATATTGCTGGACCCCACTTCCAGAGTTTCTGATTTAGATCTGGAGTGGAACCTGATAATTTGCATTTTAAATGTTTGTAAATGATGCTGGTTCTGCTGGTCCAGCAACCACACTTTGAGAACCATTCATTGACTTAGGGCATTTTTTCAAAATAACATGGGAGAAGGCCTAGGTCACAATGACTGGATAGGCCTAATTTTTCTCAGATGAATGTGTCTTAATGACCAGTTGTTGGGCTAAGAGAGGATACCTGCATTTCTAATTGAGTAGGATCTGTTGATTACTGAATTCCTACCTATCTGCCCATTGCAGGGCTAGGCAATTTGTATATATTTTCAATGCATGAAATAACCCTATGACTACAAGGAAAGTTACCTGGCTAGAAAGAGACAAGTCTGTTTGATTCCTAAATTGTTATTTTTTCACAATAATGCTATTCACCAAGTGCAAAAGAGATGATATTCTTCTAACAGAAATGAAAGAGTGTGATAATCACATTATCTATCCCCTATGGGTTTTTTCCCCCGTTTTCAATTGTTTCCCTTGATTTTGACCACGTCCAATTTCTTTGAGACTGCTATGAATGTTAACTGCATATGAAAAATCACAGAAGTAGTTGGCCTAGAAAATTATTTTTTCGAAGTGAAATATATTTACTTTTGGCTTGTTACTAGGAGCATTAGCAATCTCAATCTCAGATCACCTTAATCCAGTGCTTCTTTAAGTGTGTTCTCTGATCAGCAGTAGCAGCAGCATCACTTGGAGACTTGCTAGAAATGCAGATTCTTAGGCCCACTCTAGACCTAATGAATAAGAATAAACTGTAAAAGGTTGGACACAGCAATTTAACAAACCATTCAGGTAATTCTGATTTACACTAAACATTTGAGAACTTCCTTAATTGAACAGAAGGTTGAGATGATTAGAAGCTGGATTTCAATCTGTATGAAGGCTGTTATTCATAGGCTATAATTGTGATCCAAATTTTGAGGGTTTATGAGGCCCTTCACGATCTGCATCTTTTTGTCTTCTAGCTCACTGTCAGAAGTTCAGACTTAGCCTCTCAGTTGCATCCTTTGGAATTAGTAGATGCCTCCGGGGAAAATACAAATCTGGGCTCAGATCTCTTGGGTTTCTTGTTCCTGATCTTAGTTCTTAATTCTTCACTGCCTTCAGAGTCCTCATATATGTCAGACATACATTTTTTTAGTTTGCATTTTGTCCAGCTTTTTTTCTAGTTGTTTTCAGAGGGTAGAAGTATATTGATCTGCATTACTTACTGTGCCATTACCAGAAATGGAGGAGTCTGAAGCACATGGCTGTAAAAGATTAGGAAGTAACAGAATGTTTCAAGGAGGAGAAAGTGATAAGCAGTGTGTCAAAAATAGGTCTTCTTGGGGGCACCTGGGTGGCTCAGTCAGTTGAGCGTCCGACTTCGGCTCAGGTCATGATCTCGCAGTTCGTGGGTTCAAGCCCCGCATCGGCTCTGTGCTGACAGCCAGCTCAGAGCCTGGAGCCTGTTTCAGATTCTGTGCCTCCCTCTCTCTCTGACCCTTCCCTGCTCACGCTCTCTCTCTCTCTCAGAAATAAATTAGGGAAAAAAAAAAGATCTTCTTGGAATTTGGTAATATAGATATGCCTAAAAATAAGAATAGTGTTGGCACAATGAACTCTGTCCTCAGGAGGACTTTTTTGTGAGATATTTTTTAGGGAACTGTTAGGTTTCTGCAGAAATCAATTGGGGAATAAAAGCCAAGTTTGTATCTTCCTACAGCTGTATTTTCTTGTAAATGAGTGAAAAATATTAGGCTACCATTTCAAAAATAAAGTAAATAAGAGAGGTACCTGGGTGGCTCAGTCGGTTGGGCGTCTGACTTTGAGCTCACAGACTGGTCTCATGGTTTGTGGGTTCGAGCCCCATGTCAGGCTCTGTGCTGACAGCCTGGAGCCTGCTTCGGATTCTGTGTCTCCTTCTCTCTGCCCCTGCCTCCCCCCTACCCCCCACTTGTGCATGCGCTCTCTCTCTCTCTCTAAATTAAATAAACATTTAAAATAAAAAAACTTAAGAATAATAAATATGAATGATTTTGAAAATCTTGTTTTTAGGTAAATCATCACTAAGAACTGAGGACCTTTGTCTTATGAGTCTGAAAGCAACTTTAAATGTCTGATGAGATGAATGTAGTAAGAGTAGGTGTCTTTGTTTAAAAGAACTTTCCAAGGAATGGGCCATCCTATTGTCAATCATTGTAATCTCTCCAAAGCGATTATTGATATGTTCTATATTATCATTTGCAACAATGAAAGTATCAAGATATTTCAGTTTCTGTGTTTGTATAGAAACTCTGATGTTAAGGCCAAAGTCCTTGTACAAGTTGAAATGATGACTACTCCATTTGGCTGTACTTGTCCTACAAATAGCAGCAGCAGGGGAAATGTTTTTTTTTCTTTACCTCAGGAAAGAGCTGTTTGCAGATAGTCTACCCTTCATGTCTTCTGTTTTTCTCTTTTAATTATCTTAAATACTTTTGGAGACATTTAAATGAAGAAAAAATAATATAAACACCCATGTTCCTACATATTTGTGTTCTCTTTAGGAAAGAAAGTATTACAGTTTAATTATTATTCTTAAATTCATGCCACTGTCATCCTTCTCTCTCATCTCCAATAGCTGGTACTATTTTTACAGCTTTCTTAATAAGTGGGTTTTCAAACATATTATGGTGTTTATTGATTCTTTAACATTTATGGATCTTTTTACAGTTAAATCGTCAATCTGAAATTGTTCCGACCAGTTCTGGTGATCCCTGGAAGACATGTGCAAAACGAAACAAGGCTGACAGTTTAAAACCTTTGAAAGGCAACTCCATTGGACTTAACATGTTGAGCAACAATAAGAAATTGAGGTATAGGCACTTCTACACAGTCCTACAGATAAAGGGTTTGACACCAAAAATTAACTTCCTTTGTGGTCAGTTGTCTCAGCCTATACTTTGACTTTTTTAGCAGTGCCAAGAGGTAGAGGGTGTGAACTCTTTGCTTTGAATTTGGGGATTAGGATTGATTGCAGTGATTTTTTTGGTTCTGAATAAAAATATTGTAAGAAAAGTTCCAGTAGAGTGGGATTTCATAAGATGAGCTTCCTCTCGTATAGTTAGTAAAATTTTGTCGTAATATTAGAAGTAGAAGACACTGGAGGGTAGAGTGGTCACGTCTCTTTTAGGGGACACTTAATCAGGATTATCTTGATCAGGGATTTTTTTTTTTTTAATTTCTCTTCTCTTCTAGATATAATCCTTAGTGGTTGTCATAATGAACTACTTTTACTGATATGATTGTGCTGTTATACCTTCCAGAAACTGGATTGAAAAGCACTGTTTCAATTTCAGTTTTGTCAACTTATAGATAGAAAATTGTGGTACATAAGGCTAAGTAACTTTGAAGTCAGTGGCAGAGTCAGAAGTAGAATTTGAGACTTCTGGCCTTTTTTTTTTTACAATTAGTGCATTTGATTTTTATTTTGACATAAGAAATCTTTGTAACGTAGTTTAAAAGTTTTTTTTTATGTATAGTCCCTAACAGAGAATAAGAAAAAATATATTTGAATTAATTTATAGGATACCTTACAGTACAAAACATTCATTTGGATTCCTGATTTATATTCTAGTGTTCTACTCTTTATCTTCTTTCATGAATTGTACTAGAAATATTTCAGAGACAAATTCAGAAAGTGGAAAACTGATGGACAATTTAACATAGTTGGTTTGATCTATAAAAATACATATTTTAGTATGAAGCTTTTTGTGTGTGTAGCTTTTGTGTGTTTAGCTTTTAGTGTTCAGATTTGAAAGGGTTTATTTTGCATAGGTTTATGTAATTTTTCCTCTCTTCAAATTATTCTTTGTTTCTTGCATCTGCAGTGAAAATGCACAAAATGCATCAGTATGTTCAGGAACTGTAGTTCATGGTAGACGTTTTCAACATGCTAATGTACAGACATCACTTGTAAAAACAGCAGCCCAAAGGTAAGGATTCTAATTGCCTTTGTTTAGAGTATACATACCATCCTCTTTAACACTTTTTCACTGTTTTTTTCTTCTTCTTTAACCAACTTTTTTATTTTGGGGAACTTTACTCTGTTTCTGTTGTCTGTAAGAAGATGTCCTAGAATTTTATTCTTATATTTGCTTTTGAATAAACCACATTCTGTGAATAGACACATAAATAAAAGCCTTTTTCTTACATTATATTCCAGTTAAATTAATCTGATTTTACAACATTGACCATACAGCATTTGACAAGAAATCTTCAAGTGGTAGTTTTACTCTGATAAGTAAAGCTAGTTATTAGCTTCCTTTCTTTTTAATATTTTTTGGATTTCATAGCTTCAAAATAAATCACATTATTAGCTTTGAGATAATTTTGTGTTTTAATAGTTTTAGTAGATTTGGATGTTCTCATTGATCATGAAAGTAATACTTGAACCTTGAAATAACAAAAGTAACAGTGGGGAAAGCTTGGTGTTTTAAATGCTTTAGAGGTTGTTCATAACCAATGGTTATGAAATTTCAGTTGAATTTCAGTTTTGAGTCTGTTTCAATTGACTAGGAAATTCTTAGGCTCCAACAATAAAATAAATAATCTAATTTTTGCATTATGAATAGTTGTGTAAAATGTTTTTATAAATAGTAAAATTTAAAGATTTGGTGCATATGTTCTTCATTTTTAAAAAATACCAATCTAGATTGTTGCTCACTCAGTAAATGTGTCCTGACTCTTAGAAACCCTTGCTATATTTGCTATGTACATAGATTTGCTATAGTATAATAAATTTTCAACTTAAAAACCTTAAATCTTTCTTATACTTCCAGATAATAAAATCTTTTGCTTAAATGTATTATTTTTATCATAGTTTTTACAAAAGGTATTTGAGGAATACAACTAAAAAGACCAAAAGAGAAATTACTGCACATACCAAAAACTTGGCTTATCTTACTGTAAAGTACACAAATCAAGGTCTCTAGCCAACATGTGGCACAGACATGAGAATAAATAATAAAAGGAGAGTAATTATTAGCAAAAAGGAGAGAGACATTGTTTTCACACCCTGATAGAATCCATTGGTGACAAAGATTTGTCTTTTTTCTGAAATGTGGTCCATGTTGAAATACTCATCTATAATTTATAATCAAGTGAAATATTTTGCAACCAAAATTATGATTGCTTCTGAACTTATTTGTTAATTTGGAGTTATTTGTAGTGTGACCTCTTCTCTCCATACCTCCTTTTATCATTGTTAATGTAAAGAAAACTGACTTCAGTTTGGAAATTGGTTTGTGTTTTGTTTTATTCTAGGTCTTGGCACCTATTATACTTTGCATATGTATTATCGTTCTGCATGAAAGGTTAGATTCTGTTAATAGGAAATGACATTTACTAGTAAAATATTGTTTCCTTAATAAAACAAATTTGAATTAGTTTGTATTTAGAGAAACAATTCTGAATGAAAATACTTGTTCTTAACAACTAGGGGCAGTTCGCAAAACTGAAAAGTCATGTCAGCAGGACAGATTCTATTTATGTTTGTCTCTTACTGACAGAATAAACATTTCTTATTTTTACTAAAGTGCGATTGTCATTAAAAAGGTTTTGACATTCAAAAACAGGTCACTGAGAGTTTTTCCAATTTTCTTCCTTCAAAATCACTGAGTGATTTTGTGTTACATACCAGGCATAGATGAGGTACAGAGTAGTCCAAGGTGAATATAACAAAGCTGCCTTCCAGCTCAGGTTTGATTAGGGTGGAGGACAGAAAGACAAGTAAACAAATGATTACATGGTAAGTGTAGTGTAGTAGACACAGTTTGCATAGTGCTGTTTATAGAGAAGGGGGCAGTGAAGAATTCACAAAGGAAGTATTAAAGGCGGTTTGTTTGTTTTTTAAAGGTTAGAGAAAGGGAGGGAGAGAGAGTGAGCGTGTGAGAGCAGAGGAGGGTCATAGAGAGAGGGGGAGAGGAATCCCAAGAAGGCTTTGTGCTGTCAGCACAGAGCCCAACGCAGGGCTTAATCTCACACACCCTGGGATCATGACCTGAACCGAAATCAAGAGTGAGACACTCAACCGACTGAGCCATCTAAGTGCCCTAAAGAAGCTTTTGAGTATACTCGTTGGAAGAGAACACTCCATGTAGTAGGAACCCCATCTCCAATGCCCTGAAGAAAGGTTTCACCAAAATGGTTACTACCAAACCTTTGTAGTGTTGTGTTGGCAGAGTTGTCACACTTCAGATGTGGTGTGCACCCTGGTTTTTACTGGCTTTTGTAGTTTCTCCTAATTTTTCTTATTTTCTCAATTCTTAATTTGAAATTAAAGGAAATGCCATAAGCTGATAATTCATACACATAGTCCTCTTGGGGAGAGTGGTATAACTTGTCTTTTGAAAGTAAGTCAGACCTGCATTTTGGATAATTAGTTTAGTAAGATAGGGGAACAGGTAAATCACACCTTTTTAATCCAAAGGGAGTGCAGTGAAGATTGTTAAGATATCTGATCAGATTAGTATTATTATAACTACTCTTTGGGAGAATATTAGGATTTCAATCTATTTTCTTACTGCTATACAAATGTTAATATAAGTCATATTTAAAAGAGAAGTTGTCTGTATACTCATAGTGATGAAGGAGGGTAGTCTTAGTGTGGAAAATGCAGAAATTAAAAAGTCTGTATAACTCTATATACCATCTCCACCCCTGACTTCAATGAGATTTGCTAAAAGAGCACATTTACTGGTTTATGTTTTATTTACATTTTCACTTATTTTTGTTTTTGTTCTTTATTAAGGATAGGTGAAAAGACTTGTCAGGACCTTAGGGGAAATTGAATGTGTACAAAAGCATATATAATCCATAAATGGGAAAATGGGCTCCTGGAATAAGCAAGATTTAATTATTAATGAAAAGCACCATTTTGAAAGAATTTTTGAAGTCTTAAATCAGGTCATGGATACCAGAATCAATCAGTTTCTCTTTTTTCCTTCCTTTAAAAAATTTTTAAGAACACTAGTACAGCACTAGTTCAAGAATGAAATAGTCCAACAAGAATGTAAGTTGAAATTTTTACAAAGTCCTACATTACTAATAATGGCTTCCCTATGCATTTTTTTTAAAGCTTTTTCTTTTTTTTTTAATATGTATGCTCCTCCATAGCAGCCCTTCATAATAAACACATATTAGAATTTTATAGAAGTATAGTCACTTAGAAATTAGATATCTTATCATAATAAACACATTTTCTTCAAAGATAAGAGAAGTGAGCATGGGCATATGTATATATTTTTTGTTTTGTGTTTTTTGTTTTCTTCCTAACTCCCTTGGTTTATTGGAAAGAACCAAACCTGTTTCTTCTACTGCTACTCTGTCTTCTACCTCTTTTCTTTATACAGGTGAGTTTAAAACACAAAATTGAGAGACTACTAAACTCTTCTCGCTTCTTGGGTACAACAGGGTAGAGCTAGAAAGGGCTGTATTAGGTATCGATGCCTAACTTTCAGTTTTCATTTTACTTTTCCTGGATATAAAGCTCCAGAAGAAATAGATATATAAGATAAGCTGGACTTAGTTAAACTTTCATGTTTATGTTTTATTGACTTTAAGAGGGGTATGGTAATATTCCATCACGTTTTTGTCATTTTTCTAACATAAATTTATTTTACAGAGATTATCCTTTTTTTAATAGTAAAGATAAAACTTCAAATATGGTATTCATGTAAGCTTATGATTCTTTACTATTGAAAATTTTTTTTAAATAAGAATATTTTCAGTGTTGTATAAAACCACGTTACCATTTTTTCCCCTTAATTCACTATGATTGATATTTTGCTTGTTTGTTCCACATTATTGGAATGTGAGAGTTTATACGAAGACTCAGAGTTTGTAAACTATGTTTTGCTTACGGTTCTGAATATTTTGTTCATTTTATAATAAATAATTGATATTTTACTTATTTGTTCCACATTATTGGAATGTGAGTTTATATGAAGACTCAGAGTTTGTAAACTATGTTTTGCTTATGGTTCTGAATATTTTGTTCATTTTATAATAAATAATTCTAGGATATGAATGTTACTCTAATTTAAAGGTTTTTGTAATTTTACTATTGAGTAATTGATATTGATAGATTTTTAGGTTTTCCATGAATGTGGCGAAGGGTGGACCTGTTACAAATTATATTTTTGATTAAAGGCCATGATTTTAAATCCTAGGCCTTTCCTTGTGTCTAAAACCGTATGCTGCTGTATTTAATCTATGGCTCTGCTGTATTTAATCAGTGACTTTTATGCAAAAGTTCCAACCTTAAAAATTTTTTTTTCTTACTCAGAGGCTAATTATCACACCTGATAACAGAATTGGCAGTACTAAAAATTTATAACTGTCAGGAAATTTTATTGTTCTTTGAAGACTCTTTACATAACTACTCTAAAATAACCTATCATCAGATGGTTGATGGTTAAATAAAGCTCTTTCAAGAATCAGTATCTTTGTACATCCTTTTTTCTTAAATATGTTTAGATATAAATTATTTTCTGTATTAACAAAAACTGAAAAATACTTATCTGACAAGATTCAAAATTTAGTATATAACCTATATATAATGTGTTTAAAACAAAGTAATCACATTAGAATTTTGCCTTATTGACCGCAGTTACTAAACTACAATGATATATCAAAAATGAGGTCTTGCCTCTTACATTTTTTTTCTTTTTCATGTTTTAAGCAGTCTGGACCAAAAGGAAAGGTAAGCATAATATTGATGAAATTAGAGCATGGATATAACAGTAAGATACCAAATTATTTATATGCTATGAAAAATATCCATTGAATTCATCAATGGATGAATAATGAATGAATAATAAAGCTTATTAATTTTAATAAAAGGAAACATTGATGGTAGAACATGATATTTGACTTATGTGGGTAGTGTTAACCATAATTCTCAATATAGTTATATATTTATGTTGATATGACTACTTTCCTTTTAAAAGTAGAATATTTTAATGCCTTAGTAAAGTTGTTTTCAGTTAAAGCATTAAAATCTTCTTGTTATATTTTACAGATATACTTTTGTTTTTATGCTTTACTAGATAGAGTTGACGGAAAGTGGAACTAGAATGCCTTAAGCATGGACTTAAAACTCTAAACATCAGTGTATTCCTATTCTGACCCAAAACAGAATTTTATGATCGCTGATTGTTCACTTTGTTATAACATTGACAGGCATATATCCTTTAGCAGAAGTTTTGAATGATGTAAATAATTAAAAAAACATTATTAAGAATGCACAATCATTTAATTATGTACTTTTAACTCTGTAGTGTCTTTAAAGGTGTATAGAAAGCAAAGAGGACAATTTCTGTTATTTTATAAAGTGCATATATTCCTCCTTAATGAACACCACAGTTCTGAAATATAAAGATCCTATCAGCAAAAAATTTAGGCATATTTTCAAATTCTGAAATACTTCACAATTCTTACATGTTTTAGGTGAATGCATTGTGCAGGTATTTTACTATCTACTGGGGAAGAAAAATTCTTTTCTCATGTTTGTTTTTCTCTTTGAAGAAAGCATTGTTTTCTGTCAGATATAGATGAGTCATTATATCTTTAAAATTTTTCACTTGTAAGTGCTACATATTTTTTGAAAAGCCACTAGTAAGATTTAAAAAATATAATTGCTAAAGAATATACATTTAACTCTTTATATAATCATACGCAAAACAGACTTGTTTTATATACTTTCCTGTATGCTATACTAGATAAAATAAGTACTCTAATATTCTAATTTAATATGCAGATCTTAGATTATTCTCTTTTGCATTGTAGCTTTGGAGGGTTTATACTGATTTTTTGCACTGTTTTGGCTTATGCATATTTCTGTAGTGGAAATTTATTCATTGATACATTCAGCAAATATTTCAATGACTTTATGTGCCAGGCACTATTCTAGGAGCAGATAGAAACCCCTACCCTCTTGGAGCTTACATTCTTGTTGGAATAATACTGGAATGGGAGTCAGAAGATGTGGAATTAGGTAACTAGCAATATCAGTAGGCACATAACTTACTGTAAAATGAGGATAATATTTGCCTAGTTTTAAAGGAGATTTGTGGGAAGCAGTGAGATGATTATTTCAAACTGATAAAACTATAAAATTTGAAATTTCTGTAGTAGTAATAGATATTGGGGGAAAAATGTAATAGATCTTGAAATTCTGTCAGTCTCTTGTACTAAGATTATTGCCAGGGATTAGATATGAAGCAGCAGCTTGTAATGAATATACCTCAGGGCTTTATTCAGCAGCATCGTTATTAATCTTTGGATCCTTATCTAAAATTATTTTGTGTTTATCTTTGTTAGTGATCAGCTGAGAACTTTTGTGTCAGTACATTTTACTTTGTGAATTCTTTTCACAGAAGCTCTTTTGTTCCCTTCTTGTGAACACTAAGCCATATCTTTTTTTCTGATCCTTAAAGAGTACTAGAAGGTCCTTTATCTTTATCCCTCAACACATGAGAGACTATAAATTTTTGAACTAAATGATTTATTTATAAGAGAATGGTTTATCTAATAAACAAAAATTAAATAGTTGTGGAAGGTTAGTCTTTTCTAGACTTTTTTTCATTTGTACACTGGGCACAATGAGGTGTGCTTTATGTTTAAAAATAAGCTGGAATAGGGGTGCCTGGGTGGCTTAGTCGGTTAAGCGTCCGACTTTCGCTTAGGTCATGATCTCGCGGTTCGTGGGTTTGAGCCCCGCGTCGGGCTCTGTGCTTACTTCCAGCTCTGAGCCTGGAGCCTGTTTCAGAGTCTGTCACTCCCTCTCTCTCTGACCCTCCCCTGCTCACGCTGTCTTTCTCTCTCTCCTAGAAATAAATATAAAAAAAAAATAAGCTGGAATAAATAATCAATAGCAGTATTAATATCTAGAGCTTGCAAGCTTCAAAAAATTGTAGCCATGTTGTTATTGTTGTTTTAGGTGACTTTTACAACTTGAATGACTCGAATTCCTTTTTGACTCATGGACAGATGGTTGTAAATACAGTGTATCTGGTAGCACCAGCAACCTGTAATATTTAACCTGGTATTAGAACAGTTTTTCCTCCCTAGATAAAGAATCTGTTGACCTGTTATAAAACTGAAGCATACAGTGATTTTCAAGTTTAAAATTTTTTAAAATTCTTATTTATTAATGTAAAAAGTATGTGGATCTTGTAGAGAATTTTGAAGCAATAATAAAATACAAAGATGAATAGAATATAGTGAAAGAACATATGTGAAATATTAGGAATGTTTATATAAAGAGTGTGTTTGAAGTACAGATATTACAGAGATTTTATAATTTCCTGAAGGCTCTCAAAATAGAAAATTGTATTATTAGGATCCTGATGCATTTCTTTCCACTGTTTTATTCCTGTGTGCTTTTTAATATACTTAATGCATGTGGAATCATAATAAAAGTACAGCTGCATATTCTGAATTTTTACATAAATACAGTGTTAACATTTTCCACCGTCACTGTTGGCTTTTATTTATTTATTTATTAAACATTTTTAAACATTTATTCATTTTTTGAGAGACAGCACAAACATATTAGGGGCAGAGAGAGAGGGAGACACAGAATCTGTAGTAGGCTCCAGGCTCTGAGGTGTCAACACAGAGCCCTATGTGGGGCTCGAACTCACGAACCATGAGATCATGACCTGAGCTGAAGTCAGACGCTTAACCAACTGAGCCACCCAGGCATCCTAAGTTGACTTTTAAAAATGATTTTTAATGAATGCATAATAGGTAATCCTGCAGGTATTCGAAATTTATTTACTCATTATTTCATTACTCTTACATATGACACGAGAACAAATTTGTGTACAAATTTCTAAATGAATCTCTTAAGATAAATCTCTGTGAAAGGATTCTTTGGACTAGGTCACAGATGTTTTTAAAGCTCTTGATAAGTGCTACTAACTTGTTCAGAGAGGTAGTACCAATTTATGATAGTATTATAAACTGCTGTGTAAAGATACCTGAAAATAAAATTATAGTCAGATGATACTATCTTCCTTGCAATTAGAAGAGTCATCTGAAACCTTGGAAATAGTAAAGTTGAGCAAGATGATAGGCTGCAAGACTAATAGTATTAATAGTTTCCTTCATTCACCTCTGATCCATTGGAGTATATATTGGAGAGACCAAAATTATATTCACAGCAACAATTAAAATTAAATACCCAGTAATAAAGTTAATAGTTATAAAGTCTTTATAAATATATCTAAAGACCTACTCTGAGGCATATATTATGTTCCTGATTGGATTTACTCCTTAAAGTAAATAAAATGCAATTTTAGACAAAATCTCAGTGACTTTGTTGTCATTTTAAAAAATTTGACCAATTAATGCTAAAGTTCGTTTAGGAGAGTAAATATTTGAGAACAGCAATAGACTTTTTGTTTTTAAAGAAGAATAAATGAAGAGAAGAATGACTTGCCACATAAAACATATTGTAAAGAAAATAGTGATTGAATATGGAAACCTTAGAAGATTAGGAAGAAAGAGAGTAAGCAGACTAGAGTCTGGGTATATTCAGTTTCCAACCAGGATGTCCAATCAATAAATATAAACAAATTTACAGTGTCTTTATTATTATTTTTAATGCTTATTTGAGAGGGAGGGTGAGAGAGAATCCCAAGGAAGCTCCATGCTCAGCACAGAGCCGAATACAGGGCTCAATCCCGCAACCATGAGGTCATGACCCGAACAGAAATCAAGAGTTGGATGTTTAACTGACACTGAGTAACCCAGGAGCCCCTGCAAGTGCCTTTAAATGCCTGAATTATGCTATTCATGAAAAATTATTATTTTGAAATTTTGCATGGTGGGCAGTAGTGCCTCAATTTTTATCAGCAGTACCATTCTTGTGCAGCAATGTTTATACAGTTATTTGACCTGATAAATGGACTCCTGACTGCATATTGCCTTTTAGATATACATGTTTATTCATTCCAAATATTTATCAAGTGCTTGCTATGTTCTAGGCGTAAGATTATAGTGGTGAACGAAACAGACAAGATCCCTGTATTCCTGTGGTTTACATTTTTATGGGCAAAGACTGATAATGAACAAGTAAAAATGAAATAAGTTCTGTGTAAAGAGTAAAATAGAGTGATATTATAGAGAGTGACAGTAGTGACAGTATGGTTTCCTTAGATTACATGTTCAGAGAAACTTTTTAATAGAAAGCTAACATTTTAAGCAAGGACCAAATGAAGAGTCAGCATGCCATGATCACAGAGATAGCTTTTCCAAATAGGGAAGGGAAGGTGCTAAGATAGTAATGCAAAAATGAGTTTAGTGTGTTCAGGGAATAGAAGGAATGACCACTATGACTGGAGTTTGGGGAGCAAAGGAGAAAACGTTATAAAATGTGGGTTTGGCCATGGCAGCTAGGACCTAGGTCTTAAAAGGTTTTGTAAGGTGATCTGAAAATCTTCCTTTTTTTTTTTAGTTTGTTTATTTATTTTGAGAGCAGGCTTCACACTGTCAGCATGGATCCTGATGCAGGGCTTGAACTCATTAACCATGAGATCATGGCCTGAGCCAAAATCGAAAGTCAGATGTTTATTTTTAGTGAGTATGTGTATGTGTGTGCGCCAGAGGGGCAGAGACAAGGAGACTGAGAATCCCAAGGAGACTCCTGTGCTGTCAAATGCAAGCCCAATGCAGGGTGCATTCTCATGATCTGCGTGAGATCATGACCTGAGCCAAAATAAGTGTTAGATGCTTAACTGACTGAGCCACCCAGGTGCCCCAGATCTTTGAGAGTTTTTAAAAAGCAATCTTTTGTATATGATTTATAATTTGGTACAATAAGAACCTTAAATCAGTGGAATTCAATTAAAGCTAAGCATGTTCCACTTTCCAAATATCAGTGTGCTGCAAAGGAAAATCAGTGTAGTCTGTGACTACATATCAAACCTGTCTCAGCAAAATGTGGGGCTTGAAGAGGTAGAAAGGTAGAAATAAAAGAAATCTTAAGTCCTTTTTCTGGGAGGAGAATTGGTAGGGGTAGCAGTAATAGGCTTTTAAAGACCTCCTCTCATTAGGGATGCAGTAGAACATCTTGTTTAAATAAATGTTTGGAATCTTGATAACATGTTAACAGAAATTGTAATTGGAATAAAGGTTGAGAGACGAAAGGTAACTATTTGTTAAATTAATTAGGGAGGGAAACAAATGAATAGTAATTGTGCAAACAGTAAAAATAGGGGGAAAGAGGAAACAAATAATAAATACAAATATTAAAAAACAACTAATAAAAATGAAAACATGAACTCTATCAGTTGTTACAGTAATTGTGATCAGGTTGAATATATTTAGTAAAGGACAAGTTGGTTGGATTAAACCTACAATATAGTAATATTGTTTCTATGAATCCGACAAATTAACAATCTATAAGGTAAAGAATTACAAAAGATGAAAACAAAGCATGAGTATAATTTTAATAATAAGATGGAGTTAGGGATTAGAAGTACTAAATAGGAAGGGCACCTGCGTGGCTCAGTCAAACATCCGACTCTTGATCTTGGCTCAGGTCATGATCTTACAGTTCGTGAGTTTGAACCCCGTGTCAGGCTCCACACTGACAGTGCAGAGTCTGCTTAGGATTCTCTCTCTTCCTTTCTCCCCCTGCCCCCACTTGATCTCTCTGTCTCTCTTTCTTAAAATAAAAATTTTATTTTACAAGAAGTACTAAATAGGAAGAAGGAGCATGTTTTTAATGGGTATATAAAAGTATAACAACTTACGTATAAAATCTCCCTAAATATTGGAAATGCAAGAAGTTCTTAGAGTATAGCTGTGGGAGATTTTTAGTATATCTCAGAAAATTACACCAATTTATGAATTTAACATAAGGTTGGAATAATGAAATTTAACATTTGAATATGAATACATTTATTTTATAGAAATGTGTATCTTTTAGATCAGTTAGAGCAATGGGAAGATTAATAAAATGAGCTATCATTAAAACCAAGCAAAAACAAAAACTCAGCACCTAGATCCTTGCTTCTAAAACCACTCTCTAAGAAAAGGAACATAGCAAAACAGCTGATTTTAGGGATGGGTTAGGGAAAACACAAAATGAGCCTGAAATGTCCTGTGTTGTTAGAAACCAAGCAAGTACTCAAAAAACAAAAGGGCATTTACTTGCTTCAACAGCGCATTAAAATTAAATGTTAATGTTAATTGTTAATTAATGTTAAAATTGTAACATTACAGAGAAGATTTTCAAGGCCCTTTGTAAAAGGATGACCTGTGGATTATGGAGCATTCTATATTTCTGTAAACTTTACATTATATGTATTTTACCAGAATTAAAAAAAAAAACCTGACATCACATCAAGTGGACAAAAGGAGCCAACTGAAAGCACTCCCAAAGACCAAAACTAAAACAATTGGATTATAACTTGAAGTGTAAAATAAATATCCATATATCATATTGATAAAAATGAATAAATGAATTCTGTATTTATTCAATTATCCTTGGGTTTTACAAGCTATATAAAATGGATTGAAGGAAATGGACAGTTGTTTATTATAGAATTCCAAATAATTTGTGTAGACACTCCACTCTTCAGGAAGTAGGGTTTAACTACCCTCCTCCCTTTTGTGGGCTGGACTGACTTGTTTATTTCCAAATAGAGTATTGAAAAGGAAAAATAGGTAACTCTAGAATGGAGAAATCTAGCAAACGCTCCCTTAGCCAAATGATCAAGGTTAACATCACCAGTGATAAATCATATTGATATTATGTACCTCCTGATATGATGTGATGACAGGGGCACTTCAGCTCTGCAGTATCCTTTCCCCTAAATTCATAACCTTGGTCTAATCATGAGAAAAACATCAGAGTAACCAAGGTTAAGGTACCTTCTACAAAATAATTATTCTCTTCTAAAGTGCCAAGGTCATGAAAGATCACGTAAGACTGGGAAACTGAGGAGCCTAAAGAGACATGACAGCTAAATGCAGTGGATCCTGGATTGGATTCTGGAACAAAAAGATATTGGTAGAATAGCTGGTGAGATTTGAGTAAAGTTTAGCGTTTAGTTGATAGTAGTGTACCAGAGTTTCTTTTTTGACGTATATATGATTATGATGAAGGTGTTAACAGTAGGAGAAGCTGGGTGAGGAATACAATTCTGAATTGTCTTTGACTCTCCTGTAATTCCAAAATTAATCCAGAATTGAATTTATTTTAAAAACCTTTCAGGGCTGAGGCCTATCTAACCTTTAATAAAGAAGAGCATTTTGATGTTATTTCAATAATTCTGCACAGAAGAAAAAAAGCTTTCCAGTTGTTTAATGAAGGTTGTAAAATGTTGGGTCCAGGAGATGAGTTGTTTATTTTTATTTTTTTTAATTTTTATTTATTTTTTATTTTTTTAATGTTTATTTATCCTTGAGAGAGTGAGAGAGAGAGAGAGAATGAGGAGGGAAGGATCAGAGCGAGAGAGGGACACAGAATCTGAAACAGGCTCCAGGCTCTAAGCTGTCAGCACAGAGCCCGACACGGGGCTCGAACCCACAAACCGTGAGATCATGACCTGAGCCGAAGTCAGACGCTCAACTGACTGAGCCACCCAGGCGCCCCCCCGCCTTTTTTTTTTTTTTAACTATACAAACAGAAACCCTCCCAAGCAAAAAAATCCTCCCACTTTTGTAGATGACAGATGACAGAGAAGCTTCTATGCTTCTGCTTGGTTTGAGAGAAAGAAGTATCTACTAATAAATTAAATTGTAGACTTGAGCTTCATACCGGCTTGGAGTTTGAAGTGTTAGTATCTGTAGAGTGATAGCACCCTCAAACCAAGACATTAATATAAAATTTAGTTTTTGATCACCTAACAATTTTTTAAAAAACTGAATTTTTACAAACACAAGATAGTTTATGGCTAGAAATTTTTAAAAAATTTTCTCATCAAAGTAATGCTATTTTTATCCTCAGATTCTTATATTCTTATATTAAACTTTAAGGTATGCCTTTATTTCTGTAATTGATTCATACATTTTTTAAAAGATAAATTAGTTTTTCCTGTATATATAAGGAAACATGTAGCAAATACTCAATACATTATAGCTATTAAGGTCTGGAAATTTTGGTAAATACACAGAATAGTTAATTAACATTATAATACATGAGGAAGTCATAGATATTATATGATGTATTCTGTGTGGTGTTTGTCCCTCATTAGCAGTGCATAGTTCAGTGCACTGTGTCAGATTGCAAAACAAACGGTGCATTCAGTGCAGCATTTTCACCAACCCCTGCACATGTATGATTGGTTGTGTCAGGTGATTTATGTCAGTCATTACTGAATAAGTCTGTGTTTCTAACATACCCCGGAATAAGTCATCAAATAGGTTCAAAGTAACAAAATCTAAAATAGCTATTTTTTGATTTTGTGCCCATTTTCTGTTAAATAATTATTTTCTGTATTGATGATCTTGAGTATTTAAGAATGTATACTATTTGTGTTATTCACTATTTTACCATAATAGTATCATTGTATTTTGCTTCAGATTCATTGCCTCTGTTGCATTTTAAAGTTGGTATCTTTATTTTTCCAAAGCAGATAATTATAAAAATTAGAGATTAAAAGAATGAATTATCTGATGTAAAGATAAGACAATATATAATATATTCCCTTTAGTGTGAAAGTGCATAAAATATAAAACGATGAGTTTTAAGTTCAGTAAAATTAGCTGAAAACCTATCTTCTTCATAGTGCTAGTATTATCTCTAAGGCAAATTTTTATCTTTACAACTTATAATCTCATGATGATGTCAGGGTAGACATTGCCCAGTTGTACAGAAATGCTGCTCAATAATGAAAATTCCATTACTTATCAGTATTGATGCAATTTACCAGATTTCAGATTCTGACATTGTTATTTAATAATTGTTTAAGCATAGGCAAGTTAATTAACTTTTTGTGACTTCATCTCTTCTATATAGTGCTAATAATAGTATATATGTCATAAGGTAATTGCGAAGATTCACGTACTTAATAGATATAGAGCACTTAGAACAGTACCTGGCACATGATGCTCACTATATGCTAACTGGTAATACAAATACACTACTATCATTACTCTTCACTGTTTTTTCTTGTGTCATTTTCTTATCTTGTTTTCAGTTTAGGCCCTTTGACTTTTATAACATAAGAATATAAAATTCTTTTAGAAAAATTTCTTTTTTAGGATTTTAATTTACTTAATTATATTACTCTGATAGGTATTGATTTCTAGTGTGAATGAATTTACAAATAATAGAATAGCCTCTTTTATTTTTAATTCCCTGGCTAAGTAAAATGGGAATATGTTTAGAAGTTTTTATTTAGGGTGAGAAAGTAGATATTGTAGCTTCCAGGTTTATTGCACTTTTTAAAAATCTTTAATGCTTTTGTCCCGCAACTAGCTGTAGGTTTTTGGCTTTACCCCCAAATTAGTGTATATTTGGATTTATATAGTATTTTAGAATCTTCATTTATGGAGGATTATGTTCAGAGTCCTGAAAATTGATTGTATATAAAGTCTGACAGTGTAATATATTTTTAAAAGTATAATTATATCCCCATAGTATAGTACAAGAATAAAAACTTGTTTCATAATTGCTGGTTTTGTATGTAACATTTTTTGTACTGTTTTTCAAATTGTCCTCAAAGTCAGTATCCTAATCACCATTTATTCCTTTAGTTATTGATTTGTTTTTAAGTACTTAAAAACATTTACCAAAAAATTGGGCGAATTGGATATTATTAAGCTGTTTTTTTAATTCTAAAAATGTATGACAATGAAGTATTACATGTTCTTATTTTTAATGTTTTTTATAAATTGACTATGACATCAGTTCCAAAAGAAAACTAAAGTTTTGTGCATTGGGGGAATAAATATATAACTTTGGTGACTACTTTGAAAGGACAATAATTTAGATTCATTTATTAAATACTTATATGAAAGTCTGTTTGCTGTGGGCTCTGATGGATTAATTCTAAAACGTAGTCATTGTTCTTAGGGATCTTACAGTGTAGTAAGCTTTAGTATATTTGTATAATACTGTTTTATTATTTTATAGTATCACTTTTTATATGGCAAGGAAGCTATGGTTTGCCTTTTATTTGGGATTACTTTTAATAAACATAATTCCTCAACTTTTTGGTTTTGAAAATATATTTTTCTGTTAGAATAAATCTATATAAATTTACTCTTTTAGGAAAGAATACCCACCTCATGTCCAAAAATTTGAGAATAATTCTGTAAGGTTGAGTCGGCCTCAAGGTGTTGGTAAGTGTACAGTTTTATTTATTAACACTTGTGACACGTTTAAATAGTTGTATGAAAAAAAGGTAGAAATAGAGATATGACACTGGTTTTAGAATATTCCGAAGTATAATAGAAATATGTAGAAAAGCATTTTTTATAACTGATTTGAAATTTTACTTAACTGTGACCTAACATTTTCAGGGAATAGTTGCACACTGAGGAGATCACAGTTTGAAATCTTTTTTTTTAATTAGCATTTTCACTAAATTCAGGATCCACATATTAACTGCAGATGGAGTATAGTTTTAAAATTGTGTTTGGTTGAACTATTATAATCCTGCATAATGTAGTTTTCTTGCTTTAAATTCTTGTAGTTATAGTCTTAAATTTAGAATATATTAGGCCACCACTGAATTTAAAAGATACCATGCCTGATACAATTGTATTAATAATAGATGTAGGGAAAAAGTTGTGAGTAGAAATTTTTTTCGTTGAAATAATCTATTAATATACTAATATTACATTAGTGCAAAAATAAAGGCAAATAGTATTTATGGAAAATGTTTCACCATCAAATTGATTTTTGTTATCTAGAATAATGACTTTTTAAAAAAATTTTTTTCAATGTTTATATTTAACAGAAAGAACGAGAGAATGAGTGGGGGAGGGGCAGAGTGAGAGAGACAGAAGATCTGCAGGCTTGGTTCTGACAGCAGAGACCCTGATGCAGGGTTTTAACTCATGAATCGTGAGATCATGACTGTAGCCACAGTCAAACTCTTAACAAACTTAGCCACCCAGGCACCTCTAGAATAATGATTCTTATTCTGTGTGTATGTCTTGTTTGTCCCAGGCCTTTACTTGAAACCATAGCACTACTGGTTCTTATCCAAAATCTAATTAATTTAAACAGCTGGACTTTCCTGCTAGCTAAGAGTTTGTTTTTTAAAGCATCTGTATTCTTTTCTAGTCTTGAGTGGAAATCTTTTATTTGTATATTGAACATGGTCCCATTTTTTAAAGGGAATATTCCAAACTCCTCTTCATTGTTTTTATTTTAGTTTGTTTATTTTAAGAGAGAGAGGGAGAGCGAGCATGAGCATGTGTGTGAATGCGAGCAGAGGAGGGGCAGGAGAGGGGGAGCGAGAATGACAAGAAGTCTCCACACACTGATAGCGCAGACCTAACGCGGGGCTCAACCCCATGGACCCTGAGATCATGATCTGAGCTGAAATCAAGAGTTGGACACTCAACCGACTGAGCCACCCAGGCACCCCTATTCATCCTTTCTTAATAATTTTGTACTTATTATGAATGTGAATTATTCTACTTGGCATTACCTACTTAATGCTCATTAAGTTTAGTAATAATTGACTACCCTTTTCAGCATTCATTCTGTTATATCTTAAGTCTACTGAACTCTTACTGGATGCTGTACTCATTATTTACTTTTATCCTAGCTCCTTATCCAAGATCCTTTAAGCTAAATTTAACTTTACCTCCATTGAGATACAGAGGAAACCGAAGCACAGAAGGATTAGATTACTTACTTACTCATGTGCAGGGGTCCAGACTCTGCAAGCCACGGTTGACCCGGAGAGTGAGGGTTGGAGTTGGTGAAGATACAGAGCCAGCCTCTTCAGGTGGACTGCTCAAATTTATTTTTCAGTTTAGGATTTTTATAGCAAATCCAATCAATCATTCTTAATCTACATTTTTAGAAAGCAGTCATGAGACTTAACATTTCTAAGTTTTCTTGGCAACAGTGATTTCACAGTACACGATTTCCACTTAAACCAATAAAATTTAACCAGGTAGTCATAACAAAGTCCTACATGTTCTTTACTACGTATGACAGGGTATCTAAGGATAAGTGAAGCATATAGCTAGAATACATGAGAACACAGTGCCCTTTAATTGTTTAAGTTTAGCGGGCAAGCAAGAACAGGATTTACTTGTACCTGCAGTTATAGATGATAGACTTTCACAACCCCTTACTGAGAAAGAACAATATCAACATTTATCATAGAGGACATGTGGAATTGTTATACATGGATCAACTAGAGTTTGGTCTCTGCATTTACAGGTTTCATTCTTTGGCCAGAACAATTCCTAAGTCGCTTCCTCACAGGCTTGAGACCGGGGGCAACAGGCAAATATTTCTCTAACACTTTTCCAAGAAAGTTCTCTAAAACTAATAAGTTTTGTTTTGTCTCTGCTTAAAGCATAATATGTAGTATTATTGGCAATTAGACCCCTACAAGGAAAATGAGTTCCAGGTGTCTTATAGACCCCATGCATACCAGACCGTCCCCAATTTTGCCAGTTACTACAATAAGCATCAGACAACATCCTATTGAGGGGACGGGCATGATATATAGGTGCATTCCATTTTGGAGGAAGAGGGGGAACTTTAGGCAATTCTGGTTTCATATTAACCCTAGAATAGACTAACAGCGGAGGTGACAGTAAAAGGCACAGACTAAGCAGAGAAGAAGAATTATTCAGGGGGTTCTTCTGACTGCCTTGCAGTCTATCCCACAGGTTTTTCCCTGGGCCTTGCCATCAGGGATGACCTGTGCAGTTTTGGTCTCTGGCACTCATGGACACAGAGCTGGTATTGCAGTCTAGGCCTAGATGATGCCAATACTCATGCTCTCTCTTTATCTCAAAATAAATACACTTAAAAGAAAAAGAGGATATTGGAGTGCCTGGGTGGCTTAGTCGCTTAAGCACCAGCTTCTTGACTTTGACCCAGGTCATGATCTCATGGTTTGTGAGTTCCAGCCCCTTGTCAGCCCAGAGTCTGCTTGAGATTTTCTCTCTCCGCCTCTTCCCTGCTTGCCGTTTCTCCCTTAAAATTAATAAATAAACTTTTTAAAAAAATTTAAAAAGAGGTTATTGAAAATAGGAATACAGAAATATTTAACAAATTTGGAATTATGCAGGGAGAACATTTTGGTTTGTAGATTGATTGATTTATGTTTTAAAAACATATATTGTCTTCTTGCATACTTAAATCTTTGCTGATAAAGTCAGATTGTAATAAATTTTAAATTATTGTTTTGGGTGTTCAGTCACTTAAAAATTCTAATCATATCCTTAAAAGTATTAAATTTACATTGAAAGATAGTGAGGAAAATCCTTTTGTATTTCTTGAATAACAAATCATTAGGCTGAATATTAGTTTAGTTTCCTTTATCTAAACAATTGTACCCAATGTTTGAATTCAGTTTTTTTTATTACTAATCTATGAAGAGTCACTAACTTTAAAAAAAAGTGTATATGTGAGAGAGATTGATTGACTTCTTGATTGGTTCATTCTGGGAAGTCCCTCTGCTGTCTTAAAACACAGAATACGCAGAAGAGAATATTGGTACCCTTGATAAAAGGGTCCCACAGTGTGTGTGCAAATCCTGGTGAGGAATGAAAAGTAAACTAAAGCTATCCGGACATGATTACAGGCTACAACTTAAAGTTATTTTCTTTTATTAGTATTACTTTTTACTAATGTTTAGTTGACATGAAATAATGCATTAGTATCAGGTGTATAATATAGTGATTCAGTGACTATAAATTATGCTGTGCTTATCACACATGTAGCTACCATCTGTCACACAACTATGTGTATACACCACAATTACAGTGGCATTGACTGTATTCCCTGTGTGTGCCTTTTATCCCTGTGACTTACTCACTCCATAGCTGGAAGCCTGTATCTCCTACTCCTCTTTGCTCGTTTTGCCCACCACTCCTCACTCTTGGCAACCATGAGTTTGTTCTCTATATTTATGAGACTTTCTGCTTTTTGTTAGTTTGATTTGTTAGATTACACACAGAAGTGAAATTAAAAGACACTTGTCTTTAGGGGCACTTGGGTGGCTCAGTTGGTTAAGCATTCATCTTCGGCTCAGGTCACGATCTCACAGTTTGTGGGTTCAAGGCCTGCATCAGTCTTTGTGCTGACAGCTTGGAGCTTGTAGCCTGCTTCAGATTCTGTCTCCCTCTCCCTCTCCCTCTCTCTCTCTCTCTCTCTCTCTCACTCTCACTCTCTGCTTGTGTGCTCTCTCTCTCTGAAAATTAAATAAACATTAAGAACAAAGGTATTTGTCTTTCTCTTTGACTTGTTTTGCTTAGCACAGTACCCTTTAGGTCCATTCATGTTGTCACAGAAGGCAAAATTTTGTTTTTTTTATGTCTGAATCATATTCCAGTGTGGGGGGGGGAGGGGCACCTCTTTATCCATTCATCTGTCAATGGACCCTTAAGTTGCTTACATATTGTGGCTATTACAAATAATGCTGTAATAAACAGGGGTAGATAAATAATTTCAAATTAGTTTTTTTTTTAATTATTTGGGTAAATACCCAGTAGCAGAATTAGAGCCTATGATATTTCTATTTTTTAGTTTTTTTGAGGAACCTCCATACTACTTTCTATAGCGGCTGTACCAGTTTACATTCACACTCACAGGGAGTAAGGATTCCCTTTTCTCTACATCTTCATCAATACTTATTTCTTGTCTTTGATTCTAGCCATCCTGACTGGTGTGAGGTGGTATCTCATTGTGGTTTTGATTTGCGTTTCCCTGATGATTAGTAATGTCGATTCATCTCATGTGTCTATCTTTGGGAAAATGTTTATTCAGATCCTCTGCCCATTTTTTAATCGGATTGTTTGTCTTTTTGTTGTTGAGTTGTGTGAGCTTTTCATGTATTTTTGATATTAATCCCTTATCAGATAATATCATTTGCAAATTTCTTCTCCCATTCACTTGGTTGCCTTTTGTTTTATTGATGATTTCCTTTGTTGTGCAAAAGTTTTTATAGTTCCAATTATTTATTTTTGCCTTTGTTTCTCTTGCTTGAGGAGACAGATACAGAAAAATATTGCTAAGGCTGATGTCCAGGAGTTTACTATGCGTTATTTTAGGAGTTTTATGGTTTCCGGTCTTAAATTTAGGTCTTTAATCCATTTTAAGTTTATTTTTGTGTATAGTGTAAGAAAAGTGGTTCAGTTTC